GATCTGGTTTCCTTGGTGTGTATGCCCAGAAGTGGGATTGCTGGGTCATATGGCAGTTCTATTTCCAGCTTTTTAAGAAATCTCCACACTGTTTTCCATAGTGGCTGTACTAATTTGCATTCCCACCAACAGTGTAAGAGGGTTCCCTTTTCTCCACACCCTCTCCAGCATTTATTGCTTGTAGACTTTTGGATAGCAGCCATCCTGACTGGTGTGTAATGGTACCTCATTGTGGTTTTGATTACTGCAAACTAATTAATCTGCGGGTGAGAAGCGCAAGGTGCAAGGTTGGGGGCTGGGAGGGGCAGAAGTGCTGCCTTTTAAAAGACCCTAAATTGTTCTCCCAAGGTGAGGTCCTCTCCCTGGAAAACCCACCCACCTCTCCCGGCGCCAGCAGCAGCAGGGCCACCAACCCTTCCCCTCGTCAAATCTGAAATCCTTTCCTGGCATCCCTTTGCCTGGCCCCGACCTACAGCTAAATGAGGCTTGCATCCTCCCAGATCCTGACCTGGGCTTTCATTCCCCTGGGCTGCTCAGCACCCAGCACCCAGGGGAGGAGAAACAGGCTCAGGGAGCCAGAAATGTTCTCTAGGTCGCCCACAGTCGGGGACAAAGCGGGTGGGAACACAGGGCACCCACCCAGCTGCCCCACCCCACAGTACACTGGCCTGCAAAACCCTCCTGGCCTCTCAAAACTCACTCCCAGGACTTCCTCAACATCGTCTCCAGCCACGTCCCAGGGAGACTTCCTGCTTCCTCCCACCAGAGCCCAGGGGGCCCTTCTGTGACAGTAACAAGTGGCCACAACCGGGACACGAGCCAGCCTCTGAGGAGGTACCTCCAGGCTTCAGACCTCGCTGCTCCCTCTGCCCAGGGCTGCTGGTCTGACTGCCAGACAGAGGGGCACCTCAGAGACTGGGACCCATCCTGTGTTCTCTGTAGCCTCTCCACACTAGGGACCAGTAATGCTCAGTGCCTAGTCGGCTGGCCCAGGGAGGAAATGTCCTTCATGGGGGGTTGGGGGGGGGAGATAGGGGGCTATGTGTCTGCTCTGCTCTGTGCCTCCACAGGGGCTCCTCACTGTGCACCCTCTACATAAGAAAGCCCAGCTGGAACAACCACAGAAATCACCCCCTCCAGGGCTGAAGCCACAATGGAAACTCCACTTAGCTCACGTGTGGGCACATGGGGGGGTGGGGAGGACCAGGCCTGCTCTCCTCACTGCAGCCCAGCCGCCCAGCTCAGCTGCACAGCCTGACCACGACCGCAGCCGCGCTGCCCTCACAGTAACCCACATTCACAGAGGAAGGCCAAGCCAGGGCTAAAATCTGCTCCAGCTTTTTTAAAAGGTCACGTCTTGGATAAGTGACAAGGTTCTCCTGTAGAGCACAGGGAACTACATTCAATATCCTGTGATAAACCACAATGGAAAAGGATGTGAAGGAGAATATATATATGTATATGCATAACCAAATCACTATGCTATACAGCAGAAAGTAATACAACATTGTAAATCAACTATACTTCAATAAAATAAATTTTTAAAAAAACTGTAAAGGGCTCATGTCTGAACCCTTCCTCAGAGAACCTCAGATGGGAGATCCTGGGTCAGGGCCTGGTCAATACTCTCAGCCCACTCTCTGCTCTGACTGGGCACCAGGCAGCCCCACTGAGAGGCCCCACATGCAGTACACAGGGACCAGCCACAGCTGTCCACTCTGCTCCACGCCCTGTCCATCCCCCACTTGGAAATCCTTGGGCCAGACCCCAGAGCTCCAGGCAGGCAGTGGTCTCGAACTGCCCCCCACCTGTCTAGAGGAAAGGGATTTGTGTTTGCACACATCCCCACCCCCAAGCATCTCTAGAATCTGTCTGCTTGAACCGACCATGAAGGACCAGCTTGTGAAATAGGTACGTGGACGGCTGGGAGGAGCAGCGGCCAGTGCTATCTGGCTGAACCCCCTCGGGGAGACACCCAGGTTATCTGTGCCTGCCTGGCGTTACAGACCTCAGGCGGTGCCAGAGGGCCCAGCATTGCTGGCCTGCTGGCTCCCTCAGACGGGTTCAGGAACACTTCTGTGCAAAGGCAGGCTGGAAATCAGCTGGGAGGCCCTCTGGCCCAGGCTCCGGCCTCAGGTCACAGGCTGCCCCTCCTCCCCGGGAGATGCTTGCCGGCCATCCCAGACTGATCCCTGCCAGCAGAGATCCCTGCCCCTTTGCTTCCCATCAGGAAGTGAGCACCACGCCTGAAGGAGGAAGCGCGTCTGGAGAACAGAACCCCAGCCAACAGGCTGTCCTTCTCCCAGAGCCACGCGGCCGGCACCAGCACAAGGCCCACCGCGCTGCCTAGCTTTCCCCGTGGCCTCGGCCCGGCGGGCAGGATGCACCTGGGAACTGGCACCAGCCAGCGCTGCAGACGGGCGAGGGACAGGATGAGGACACTGGGCTGCCCCGGGGTTCCCAGAGCAGGTCCTGCCAGACCTCCTGCACCCTAGGGAGGTACAGTTGGAAATACATGCCAGCAGCACTGAGAACTTGAAGGCAGCATAGACCCCACCCCCCAGGCAATGGCCCAACTCCCAGAATAAGAGCAGGGCAGTCTCCGCAACCCCGGAGAGCAGTCCAGTGAGGATCCTTGGACATGGAGAGCAGGCTGTAGATACGTGCATGTTTCGGGCATGTGTGCAAGGGTGTGTGCGCACATGTGGACCCACGTGTCACTAGTACTTGGGGCAGAAGGGGGTTCATGTTACAAGCTCTCTGCTGATTCCTCAGATGCACTTCCTCAGAAGAATTCGGCAGACTCAGAAAGGACAGGCCTGTGCCCCTGAGCAGCAAGACGGGTCCCCCGAGCTTCAGACAGACGAGGCAGGTGGGGTCCTGGGAAAACACACTGCCCTCGGCACTCTGGTCCCTGAGAACCTCAGCCCCACACAGCCTCCTTCAAGGGCTCTCAGGTCACGGGTCTGGAACTTTGTCTTCAGGCCACCAAAGCCTGTGACCGTCCTGGGGCACCTTGGGTGCCACCACGTGAGACACTTGGCAGGAGTGCACTTCAGTTTAGTGGCAGTTTGTATGCCGGCAGGACAACCAGCACCAAGTGTAGGCAGCTCTCCTCTGAGCCAGAAGGGAGAAAACCTCACATTGAAAATCTAACATGACCAGGAAAATGATTAATCCAGGTCCCTCAAAAACTAGCTGCCATTACAGACAACCTGGTCACACGCTTCTCTTTTCCCTCAAACAGTAAATAGCAACAGTCACGGGGCATTAAGACTAGGTGAAATTTGTAAAACCATTTTGTTAGGCTGAGTCTGTTTATTTTTAGAGAGAATAATAAATTCTTTGCCTGCACTTATAGGTTTATACCTGCTCAGGGCTGCTTTGCAATGGAAATAAAGTTCTTTGTTTTAACGAGCTGGCAATCTTCCTGAGACTCCCCCACAGTGACAACCACACACTCAGAGGCTCGCCCAGAGGCCCTCAGAGGCTCGACGTGGCCCAACACCAGCTCATGGTCCAGGCCCACAGGAGGACAGGAGGAAATTAGTCCATAGCTGGACCCCCTTCACCTCCTCACCCCCATCACAGAGCCTTCATCTTCTACTGAACAAGCACACATAGATCAAGTCGGGCCAGTGAGGGTGAAGAACATTGGAGTGGCTCACCTGTTAGAGCAGCACCCCTGACTCTAGTGTGCAGAGCCCGGGGCTCCCAGGCCATATGGAGTCAGGAGGGTATCTATCCAGGGGACCCAGCTCAATGCAGTGATGGGCAGTAAAGGCTGAAAGGGACTGTGACAGCTGAGGGTGTTGGACTCAGGGGGAGGGACAAGCGGGGCAGGGCCCACTAGGAGCCACAGCAGATTAACTAATGTCACTCTGCTGCTTCCAGGAGTCCACCTGAACACAGCTTCACCAGGCCTGGTGCACTCAATCTGTGATAAAACCTGAGTCTGAGAAACAAGCAGGAAACCAGGGGTCCCCAGGGCCTGAAACTCTGAACTCTCCTCCTGCCATGTCCCCTTCTTCCCCTCCCCATCAGCCAAGCACACCTGCACCTTCTCTCTGTTCCTGGGATCCCTGGGCTAGGACTGGACGTTCTCTCTCCATCTTCCTGAGGCCGCTCCTTGTCAGCAGCACCTCAGCTTGAAGGTCATGTAAAGCGACCTTCACTGGGTCGCTGGCCCACAGTGGGGATGTTCGTTACTGTAATGTATCCCAGCCTGCCCTGACTGCTACAGTGGCACTCAGTGACACCTGCTGAATGTCTGGCCAAGAAGCCTTGAGCCACCCACCAGGAGGGTAATCATGCCCACAACTACCTGGGGTACTAAGGGACCACAACCTAGGCTCCCAGTGGGCCTGCAATAGCCCTGTAAAGGTGAACTGAAGCTTGAGCCAAGGGGTTTTCCCACGAGGATGTGGCCACAGACCAGACACCTCTCAGCAAGACAGGCCCAAGAAGGAGCAGGGCTTCAGGAAGACAAGTACCTACTCCCAATGCCAGGTCTGCTCAAACCCGCCCAGTGTACACCTTTGGTATACAGAATACATGAAGGATTCCGTACATATCCCTTGTTTTATTTTAGCCCCATTTCAAAAACTTGGGTTTACTGTTGTGCCACTGTCATGACTCACTAAGAGGAGCTGATTTTAGTTACCCCAGCATGTATGTGATTCAGCTCACATTCATGTTTCTTTTCCAGAGACCAGAGAACATTTCCAAAGTGGAAATAACCCCTGATACCCATATAATGCCCTGCCAAGAACTGGTCACAGGCACACGAGACTGCTTGACCAAGAGTGACCCTGTGCCTTGAACATTCGTTATACTTGTTTCTGAGGACCCTGTTCTCTCCAGCGGAATCTAAAGACACCAGGTACTGCCCAGTGGATGAGGACGCCGGGCCTGCTCCCATCCACAGCTTGGCAGCAGCGTTTGGTGCTAGCGCCCACATGTGCACGCAGAGGCACCCGCCATCAGGGGACACACCGTACCTGTAGGTGATCTTCACTTCAGTTCCAGGCTCATCTCGCTCCCAGATCAAAGCGATGCTCTCCGGGGACTTCTGAACGTGCTGATCCAAGCAGTTGACTGCACAAAAACAGGTGCATGGACGTTACACTTGGTGCCCCTGGAGTCGGAACGGGGAGGGTCCGGTCGGCGTGGTTTGCGCCGTTCTCCCTAGGTTGAGAGAGCTCTCAGGTGCAGGTGACCACTGGGAATTCTGAAGCAGGTGCTTCACATGCGGAGCACTCCCCAAGTCCCAATCCCCAGCCTCATTCCCCGCCCCCACCACCACCACCCCACACCAGCGACCCGACCCAACCGGCCCTGCAGTTTTCAAAGCTCCCCTGACACACAGGCCAGGGCTGAGCACTGCAGCCTGGGCTGCAGGAAAGAAGACTCAATGCAAACAGGATGGCCTGATTCCACGCAGTGCAGGGGGAGGGTGCTCGTGGGGTAGGGGTGCGATCCAGGACAAGGACCCACATCCCTTCTTAGGTGTCCAGCCAGCACCCAGCTCCCAGAAGTGATGCACTGACAAGGGAAATGTCTCGCTAGTTTTCCAGGAGGCTCGCTACCCTCCCCCTCCTTTACTGAAGCTCAGGTCATATGACTGCCCACAAAAACAGGTCTGTTGTGGTGGTTTACTGTCAACCTGAAGATCAGTAGGATCATGTGCACTGCTAACTTCCTGTTCACCACCACTGACTGGACTTCAAGGTGAGCTTGGCTCTGGCTGGTTTTTGCCAGAGCCCCTTCCAGCCGGCCCTCGTGGCCTGTCTTCATTCCTCACCTCCCCATCAGCAGGGAAATAAATACCTAAGAACAGCTTTGGGACCAGCAGCCATTGCCCACCTGGTCTTCAGGGTCACCCTCATGTCAAGGTATATAAATTTTTCCTTTCCTGTCTTTTTGGGGCAGTTATTTATCTTCTCCCAAGTTAATCTTCTCCTACAGAAATGGGAGATGTACCCTTTGCCACGTCTAACTCACAGGGCTGGGTCAGAATCAGATGGAAAGCAATCCTGAGAGGTTACCACAAGAATACAAGGTCAGTCACCACCCGATAATCACTCTGCTGGGAGTTCCTACAAATATTTCCTGATGGAAAACCATTCTGACAGAAGTTATGGGAGACTCTCCCCGTAACAAACCCATACTCCTTGAGACGGTGAACTCCCATAGAAACACTTACAAACTTTAGCTTGTGTCTGTGTGCCTGTGTGCATGTGAATCACACTTTTTCCCTCTCAGGATATTTCATCTATCACTTACTCTGGGAGGTGGGAGGGAAGTTCAAGAGGGAGGGACATATGTAAACCTATGGCTGATTCCTGTTGATGTATGGCAGAAACCAACACAATGTTGTAAAGCAATTATCCTTCAATTAAAAATAAATTTTAAAAAAATTACAAGTTTCTAATAGGTATATAAGCTATACCTCACAAACTTGACAAATGAAAGGTGGATTTCATGGGAAAAATTCCTACATACTGCCACAGGAAAGTTCTTTGAATCACTAGAAAAACAGAAGAGAACAAATGCCTCCCCCCCCAAAAAAAAAAAAAAGCAGAAAGACAAACTGAGAAGAAGGGGGCTTGGTGGCAAAACTTGGATTTACACAATAAACCTGACATCAGTCGAGGGTGTGTCGGTCTGGCCCAAAGTTCATTTTTTTAATATCTATTTATTTTTGGCTGTGCTGGGTCTTCACTGTCATACACAGGCTTTCTCTAGTTGCAGAAAGCCAGGGGCTACTCTCTAGTTGTGGTGCGCAGGCCTTCCATCATGCTGGATTCTCTTGTTGTGGAGCACAGGCTCTAGGGGCATGGGCTTCAGTGGTTGTGGCTCGTGGGCTCAGTAATTGTGACACACAGGCCCAGTTGTCCCACGGCATGTGGGATCCTAGTTCCTGGACCAGGGATCGAATCTGAGTCCCCCTGCATTGGCAGGCAGACTCCCAACCACTGGACCACCAGGGAAGTCCCTGGTCCAAACTTTAGAAGAGTTTTCACACTAAGACCACAGATTTCTGGCTTCTCTTGAACAATCTGCTGATGAGGCCATACCCACACCTGTCAGCTGAGGTGGTGACCACTCTAAGCAGGGGTGGGTCCTGTCACCTCCCCTTGCTGCCCATGCCAAGTCTGCTCAGGGTCCTGTCTCAGGGCCTTTGCACATCTTCTCCCTGCCTGGGGGACATCGTCCCACCCTCCCCACTGCTGCACATCATCTGGTACTCAGCCTCCCCCAGGTCTCAGCCATTATGTCCTCACTCCACTATGGAGCACTACTCCTCCCTGGGACCTTATGCCTCCCAGACTCTAACTCCCCTGTGGTGTTTCCAGCCTGCTGCCCCTTTGTGGGCAGGGGTCACATGCCCAGTTCCTATTCGGACACCTGCAGCATGACCCAGGGCTCCGAGCACAGGAAGCCCCAAATTCTGGATGACGGATGGACCTGCTGAGTCTTCAAGCTGGAGGATGACGTGGGGTCCAGGTGACACCAGGCTGGGTGGTGCCTGGGAGAAGGAACAGACCTCTTCTCATCTTCCTGGCTTTGTCCCTCAAGAAGTTCCTTTTGGGGACTACATCAAGGCTTCTGACTTCCCGAGGATCCCAGATGACTTGTGAGCATGTAACTTTCGAGGCCCCACCCTGAGTCTCTGACTGAACACGTCTGGGTGGGCTTGAGGAATTCACTTCTACCAAGATCCAACTTGATGCTGTGACTGCAGGTCCAGGACCTCTTTCACACAGGCGGGTGCATACACACATGCACATATGTCTCCTGGTATGTACAGTCCAGAGTCCAGGGGAGCTTTCTTTTTCCAGTGGTGGTGGTGGTGGTTTAGTCGCTAAGTCGTGTCCAACTCCTGGATAAGAGTAATTAAAGACCCTTGCCATCTCTGCAAGACATTCAGCCATGCCCTCACTGGATGGCAGCCTGGGGTCATGGTTAAAACCACACTCTAGAGTCAGGCCACTGTCCGACCACTCACTAACCATAGACTCGCCTATTTATCTCTAAACACCACCTCTAAATCTTACTCTCCTAATTGGTGGTGGTAACGGTTCCGGACTGTAGGAGGCATGGTAGTAATTAGATGCTACTGGACTTTTCCTGCCATGGGGTCAGACGGTGTGACTGTGTCCCCAAGGGAAACTGAGTTCACAGCTGCCATGGACAACCCTCAGATGACAGTGTCCAGAGAAAGCACAGGGCCGGGTCTGAGGCAACGTGGCTCTATGATGCCATGTGTATGTTGACTTTTAACACATCTGCATGGCTCCTGCTGTCGCCTCAAGTGCAGAGGGGAGAAAAAAAAAAGGAAGAAGGGAAGGAAACCCTTACATCTCTCATTTAAAAAAAAAAAAAGTCTCCACCAACGAACTGGGCAGCAAAACAACAGAATTTCATTTCCAAGTATTTCCAAGAAAAGTTGGGCAAGGAGATAGAGCAACTTAAGGCTTGGCTCAAACCCGACCTCTTATTTCGATCCTTTTCCAAATTTCCCAGCACACAGCGATCTCTCCTCCCACAACCCCATTCAGCACTGACTCATCTTCCCAGCAGCCCCCATTCTGACACAACACCAGGTCTGCTAAATCCACCCCCATCTGGGTCACAAGGTCCCTCTGGGCAGGGACCACATCCCTAAGATTCCTTCACCTCGGAAGGGAGGCAGGGGACAATGGGACAAACTTCCTAATTCTCCCCTTAACAGCTGTAAAACCTTGAGCACTGTCCCCAGTGTGGATCTGCTCCTTTACTGATCTGTGGGCCTTCTCCTCATTAGAACACAGGCTCTGAGGCACTGGGGCATTTTATGCATGATCCCCACCAAACACAAGCTAAAGTCCTTACATCCACATCTGTACAATGGGGCCACCAGACACTTCACAAAGATGTCGTGAGATGAGGCATCACAAAGTTCACCTAAGGGCAAGTCTGCACCCGGGCCTGATGTGGCTCTGCAAACAGGTAAGCGGGTGTGTGTGGTGAGTTTGGGTTTGTTTTTAAGAAGAGGTGATGGGGACTTCCCTGCCAATCCAATGGTTAAGACTTCGCCTTACAATGCAGGGCTGTGGGTCTGACCCCTGGTCAGGAGGCTAAGATCCCACAAGCCTTGAAGCCAAAAAAACCAAAACATAAAACAGAAGCAATGTTGTAATAAATTCAATAAAAACTTTTAAAAGATGGCCCACATAAAAAAATTAAGATATTATTAAAAAAAAGAAAAGGTAACCAGAGGGTCGTCAGTTTCATCATAAACATGTACACACGAATGCAGGCATTTTCATCCAACAAACTTATTGGTTGTTTAAATGCATCCCTGCCCCTCCTCCCTTTACAAAAATTTAATTTTAATCCAAAGAGATGAGGGAGTTAATATTCACAAGAGGAGTCACAATAGGTTTTCTTTAAATAGAAAACCTCCCTGGCACAATTTGAGGTATTACGTCAATCACAAAAACTGTATTTGCCAACTTTCCAGAAACATCTGCTATTTAAAGTAAGTTGTGTCTCTGACAACTGGGGAGGATTCAGAGCTTTCCGAGGTTCCCTCCTCCTGAGACCTGAGGTCGTGTGTCCACTGAGAGTTCCTTGAAGGACCTGAGTGAGCTATTTCAGCCACTGGGGGGAAATGCAGCCTAGGAGGCAGGCTTTTGCCATCTCAGCGTTTCTGCCATCTGAATTATTCGAGGCACGTCATGAAGAGGAGAGAGCTACAGCAAAATGGTTTCCACTGCTGCAAGGAATGTTCCAAAAAGCGTCCAAGGAATCTCTGTGTTCAATGCTAGTTATAAACAGTGTCCCTATCCCCAAGCTTGAAAGTAAGAATACACACACTTGTGTTTCAAATTCAGACTCATAATAGTTTCGTTTTGTATTCTGAAAGCAACACATCACTACCCTCCAGTTCTGCATCTGCAGCTTCCTGACGGAAGCTTTGCTTCCACGGAGCAAAGACATCTGTTGAGCCCTGCGAGGGAAAGAGCCAAACTTCAAAAGCTGGAAAGAGTCCTTATCAGAACGTGGCTTTCTGAAGAGTTTCGAATTTCCGTGCAAACCAGTTCACTGCCAGTTCACTGCAGGGGGTGTCGGCTCTACCTCCCCACCTCCACCCCACTCGACCTAGGGCCTTCTGACACCACAACCCGCCCCTCCCCCCACCACGGCCTGGCTCTCTTAGGGTCCAGGAGGGCTTTCAGAGCCACGTCAGCCACCTGCATGCCCTCCCCAGCCTGCTTCCCAGAATAGGCTGGTCAGATGGAAAACCTGTGTGGTCCCATTCAAAGGCGAAGCAGCATGGCAGAAGAGCAGGTTCAAGGTCACAGCCTCCTCCCAGGATTCATTAATAAATAACAAAGGCCAGTGATTGGGTGCAAGGAATGTTCTGAAGACAGTGCAGAGTGCTTCACAAGCTTTTTGACATTCAATGCTAACAGCAGTCCCAGGTCACCTGCTGCTGGTCAGAAGCCTAACAGCTTCTGCCTTGGTCTCTGGGACTTCCAGTAGCCAACAGCCCTGGGTCTAGTCACCACCCTGTGAGAAGCCCCTTGTGGGTGCTCCAGGCCACAGTTCCAGCTAAGCCCAGCCTGCAGGCCAGGCCGCAGACTTGGGAGTGAACAAGGTAGATGACTAGAGTCCCACAGGCGGGGAGCAGAGGCAAGCCACTCCCGTCAGGCCCTGTCCAAAGTCCTGACCCACGGAATCCGAGAGACTAAGAAAATGGCACGAATAGGAACTGGAAAAGAATTTCAGTTACACACTGTTCTCACATTACAAATGAGGAGTCGAACCAAAGAACAGTCAGGGGAGGGCAGGAGGAGTAAGTAAGTTGGGAGAGTGGGATTGACACAGACACATTATTATACATAAAATAGTGTAAACTAATAAGAACTTACTGTAGAGCTTAGGGAACTTTATTCAGTACTCTGTAATGACCTATATGGGAATAGAATCTGAAAGAGTGGAGATATATATATATATATATATATATATATATATATATACATACATACTTGACTCACTTTGCTGTGTGGTTAACACAATTGTAAATAAACTATACTCCAATAAAAAATGAATTAAAATTAAGCACTTGGCAAGATTTTAGATAGAAAGAAAAAAAAATGGTCAAGGGAAAACAAGGATTCAAACCCAGGTATGGTTCCAAAGACACACCCAGCACCACTGAAATGTACGGTACCACCCACAGACTCTTTCTGTTTGTTTGAGAGAGACAGATTGGCATTCATCCCAATCTGCCCATTTAGTGGTGCCCCACCTGCCCTGGTTGGACACAGGTCAGTTGTTCTCAACCTTAAGTGTGTATCAGAATCACCTGGAAGATCCACCCTCAGGTTCCTGGCTCTGGCCATCTAGGATGTTTCTACAAAGTTCACAGGTCTTGCTGATGCTGCTGATCCAGGGATCACGCTTTGAGAACTGTATGTACAGACCTTCCTAAAGGGGCAAACGGAGTTTTAAGTGATGCTCCTTTGGAATAAGCCATCATCACACGACCATCACACAGACAGACAGAGCATGCCAAAACACACCCCCTCCCACTCCAGTCCACAACTTTTTAGTGGCTTCCAGGATAGCCATGACTTGGTCTGGTCCTTTTTCATATGATCACCTCTGTGATTTGCAGACACTGGCGACCAACAGAGATATTCCTGACAGATGAGTGGGTCACATACACATTTGATGAGAGAACGTGGCTGAAATGCTGTTTTACTACAAGGTAGTTTTCTGAAGTTCAGTTTCTGGCTAAGGTAACCATAAAGGAGAAATAAATGAAGAAAAAGAGGCAGAAGAGTGTCTTGCACACCCTAACCCTGACCTTGAACCTGACCAAGTGGGGCTCACGAGGCCCTGGCTGCCCGTAGCATTGGATCTGTCATTACACCACCACCACCACCACTCCCCCCTTCTTATCTGAGAGTGAAAGGTGGCACGTGTTCACCTTGAATGTCCCTGGCAGCCTCAGGTCTCCCAAGTCCAAAGCAGCTTCTAAAGGAACTGCAACCTTCCACCCCTTCGCTCTGCACGCAGCTCTCTCAATCCAGGGTTCACTCCACCAACCCTGCAAACCTAAGGGTTTAGTTTTTCTCCCACTGGTCCAAGGACACTTTCTGCTGACTCAATTTTAGAGAAGACATTTATCTACTGAGTCATTTTTATTAAACCAGCAAAGCAATATACAATATAAAAAAAAAATCTGGTCCAAAGTTCCCTTAAATTTCTTTGCTTGAAAAATAACTGCAAGATACTACCCGTAATTCTGGCTACTTCTAAATTTCACAAGTCGAAATCACTACCACTTATTGGTCACTAGTAAGTGCTGGGCCTTTTCCATACCCCTGTGTGCCTGGTCATCACAACCAGCCCCTCAGGTGGGCATTGCGACCTCTAGTCTACCCAGGAGGATGCTGAAACGCAGAGGAACAGAAAAACTGGACCAGTAAAGAAGTGGAACCTGGGGACTTAGACCCCACTGCCCAGTTCAGGCCTTGGTCAGGAAGACCTTTCCTTAAACAGCCCCTAGACTCCCATCTATCCCATTATCCCCTTCCTCCTTGACAGGCAGCCCCCTCTGACCGCCCCCCTCCCCAATCTGGCTGCCCACACCCCAGGCCTAGCCGGCCTCCTCCTTCCCTCAGTTGCTGGGCCTTTTGCCCCTGGCTGGCCCGGGGCGTGGGTGGCAGTGTGAACCCCAGTCCCAAGTCTGGACAGAAGCGTAGGGGATTCAATCTCCACTAGGAGCCAGAGAGGACAAACTGGCGATGGAACTGGCTTCTGAGATCTCGGAAGACCGGCCCCCTGGGTCTTCGGGGTGAAGGTGAAACTGAGAGCGCGGAGGGCCCACCACTGCTTCCTTCCCGCCCGCCCGCCCGCCCGCCCGCCCGCCGGCTGACTCCGGCTGCCGGCGCAGCTTCCTCCTCCCCACCACCCGGCGCGGCTCCGTTTGTTTACACGGGCAGGGCTGCTCCCCAGGCGGGTCGCCGGCCGGCACCTGGCGGTGACAACGGTCAGAAGATTTTCGGTTCTGTCGCCGGCCGGCTCCGGGGGCGAGAAGTCCTGCTCCTGGTGCACCCCTTGCCTTCCACCCTCCGCGCGGCACGCTCGGTGTGAGGGCCAGTGCGAGCCACCGTTAGACTTGGGGGGCACCGGGGGACCCGAGCTACGACCGGGGAGTCGGGGCCGGGCCGGCGGGGTGGGAGCGGGGTGGCCGCGTCGCTTGCCGGGGAGCGAAGCCCGAGCTCCGAGGAGGGGGCGTGTGGAGCCGCCGGGCTTGGGGTCCCCCGGCGTGCGAGTTGGGGCGCCCCTGTCCCCAGGCTCACTCACCGGACACGTTTAACTGGCCTCCCAGGAACCAGCTGATCCTGCCGCTGCGGAAGTCACAGTCGCTCACCGTGTGGTAGGGGGTGTCCCACACGAGAGCGTCCCGCGCCAGTGGCCCCCAGAAGGCGGCGGGCTCGCGAGCTGCCAGCGCGATTCGCTCTTGGTAGGAGCCGGGCGGCGCTGCAGGAGCGGAGGCGCTGCTCCAGAGCCGGGGGGCCGCCAGCGCCCGCACCCCGACTCCGCGGAGGCCGCCTAGTAGCCGCCCGACGCCGCGGCCCAAGCAGCGCGCCGCCATCGCGCCTCAGAGTCCCGCGCCTCAGAGCCCTGTGGCAACCTGGCGCCCGCGTGCCCGCGCCCCACCCCGGCCCCGCCGCGCGCCCAGGCCCCGCCCCAGGCCCCGCCCCCAGGCCGACGCCCCGGCCCTCGTCCAATCCCGCCCCCGCTCCCTGCCCTCGCACGCCGGCGCCCCTCTCTGGCCCCGCCCCTCCCCGCCCCTCTGGCCAACGCCCCGGCCCCGCCCCCGCCCCGCCCCCCGCATCCCTCCGCTCGCGCTCCGGCGTCGGGCGCCAAGGGAGGGGGAGCAGCTGGAGAAGGGGGGCCCACCGGAGCGCGGAGTACGGGGTCCCGGGACGGGCTGCCGGCGTTTCAACTGGTGCGTCCTCCAGCTCCGACGGCTGCGCGGCGCGGGGAACAGCAGAGACTGGGAACCCGGGGACGCAGGCTCTCCCGGGCGCGGGAGCGACCGCGGAGCCGGGGAACCACCAGTTAGGTCCATTCAGCATCTCAGAGGCCGAAGGCATTCGTCTCTTCATGCGCCCTGGAGAAGGAACCCGCAGGTCTGCCTGCACCGGACCCCCGCCAAAATATACACACATAAGCAGCACCCCCGCCCCGTGGACTAAGTGGGGTCCTCTGCCCAAGAGGCTGTGGGGGTATCCAGGGTGGTGGTCTAGGGTCCGCCGCATTCCTGTGGCAGCGAAGGAGACCCCTGGCGGGTTTGGCCCGCTGCTCCAGCTTCTGTGTCCTGTGTTCAAAAGCTGACGTTTCTAGCTCTCTGACATCCGGTGAGTTCCTTAACATCTCTGTGCCTACACCACCCCCGCTACTGAGCTCCCTGGGTGCCCCTTGCAGGCTGCAAGTTTCAGACACCAACTCATTTATTCTTATGCAGCCCTGGGGAGGGGGAAACACATGATATCTTTCTCCCCCAGCTGTACCCAGGGAGCCCGGGAATGGAGGCTGTGTCCCAGTTATCAAGCCAGGAAAGATAGAAGGGAACCCACAGAAACTTGCCTCGGCCAGACTCGAATATCACAACACCCACAAACTAAACACATAATAAATAAGATAAACAGAAGGGAAAGGGGAATTTTGAAAGTTGGTTGGTTGAGTTCCATCCTATTAGCTGTAAGAGGAATTTCTGCTGTCAGCCCCAGAGTGTGTGTGTGTGTGTGTGTGTGTGTGTGTGTGTGTGTGTGTGTCCCCTCTTGTGTGCGCCTGCGTGCACTTGCCTGCTTGCACATGGTGCCTGCTTTTTAAGGCTGGGGGCCTGGGGTCCAGTGAGAAAAGTTAGCACTTAGACACGGGCACTGCTCTGTGCCAAGTGCTTGACCTGCATTTTTCTACTTAATTTAAAAATTATCTGGTGCTATCAAGTCCTGCCCACTCTCAGCTCCCAAGTGGAACATATGAGGACGCTGAGCCCTAAGAAATAAACACGTGCTGGGCAGCAACCCCACTCCCACCTCAATTTCTGCTTCACTGCTTGGCCTGAGAAGAAGGCAATGACAACCCACTCCAGTACTCTTGCCTGGAAAATCCCATGGATGTTCCATGGATGCAGGAGCCTGGTAGGCTGCAGTCCATGGGGTCGCTAAGAGTCAGACCTGACTGAGCAACTTCACTTTCACTTTCCATTTTCATGCATTGGAGAAGAAAATGGCAACCCACTCCAGTTTTCTTTCCTGGAGAATCCCAGGGATGGGAAAGCCTGGTGGGCTTTCAATGGGGTTGCACAGAGTCGTACACAACTGAAGTGACTTAGCAGCAGCAGCAGCAGCACTTAGCCGGAATCACCTCTTTTTTCTTTTTTTTTAGCCCCACACAGTCTGCAGGATTTTAGTTCCCCAATCAGGGATTGAACCTGGGCCCTATGCAGTGAGAGCACAAATTCCTAACCACTGGACTGCCAGGAAATTCCCTGAATCACCATTTTTAATAGAATAAATAATAAAACTGAAATAGAGAAAGACCGTAAGTGTGGCCAGGGGTCCCAAAGATGACTACAGATGCTGGAGCAGTGGCTGAAAACCCCCAGGCCTTTGCTCTGTAGGAGAGGGGCTCCCCCTCAAGAGGAAGGATCTGTTCCCCACAAGTAGATGAGCAATGCTGCTCTAACTGTCCCAGCCCAGGCCCTGAGAGGCCACAGAGGCAGGACCTGCTCTCCTGGAGGTGGGTTGCCAGTGCCATAAACTCCAGCCTTCTGGACTAGAGACCCCTGCAGAGAATGTTACCAAATGCAAGTCGACATAAGGCCAACACCAAAACACCCAAGTCTGGAGCAGAGAAAGGTTTATTGCAGGGCCCTGCAAGAAGGGAGGAGGCTCATGCCTTAAAAACCCTGAACTCCCCAAAACTTTTCAGCAAAGCCCTTTTCTAGGAATGGGGGAGGGGGGGGTAGCTGTTGCAGACTTCATGGTGTCAGAGCCTTTGCTCTTGAGGTCAGCCCATGGTCAAGTCAGGATGTTCCTATAAACCTCCACCAAAACAAACATTAGTATCTGTTCTGACCAGAAAGGGAAGGGGAGTCATATAATTCTGTCTCCGTGCCTCCTTGCAACTGTTAACACATAACAAACCTGGTAAGCAAAACAACATGATTACCCCTTATTTTACGGGTTCAAGGTCCCAAGGCTCAGCTTTTGCCCTGTGAGGCCCAGGTCCTTGGTAAGAGGAGGGGTCGCCATGCAGGCCAGTTACCCTGCCTGGGAGCAATTGTCCAGCATCCAGTTTGGGTCCTCCCGCCGGCACACGGTGTGCTGAAGAGGCAGAGCTCAGGAGGCAGCCCCTCACAGCCCAGCTCCTAGATCCCACCCAGCCCCAGATGGCACTCAGGCTCCTCAGGCCACCCAAAGTGGGGTGGGGTTCCACAAACGGCGATCCATGGAGACGGCTGCTGCCATCAGGTCTTGGAGGTGGGATGGGGAAGAGGTTTGCTGCCGCTTAGAGTCTGGCCTCGGTGGTGGGCAGCACTAGTGAGGACTCTGCCAGACACAGTCCTCAGCCCGTCCCTATGGCCCCGGGCTTACCCACCACCCCGAGGCTGGAAGGCCGGGAGGGCCCGAGGAAGAAGGCCACGATCCGCCTCTCACCACGCTCTGTGCCGCCCAAGACAGCTGCAAGCTGACTGTTGGTGGAGCGGGGCCTCTAACCGCCGCTGCGGAGCGATAAGCACTGCTGGCCAGACCTGCCCCGCCCCCTGCCTGCCCCTACTGCAAGAACAATAGGGAAAGTACACGGAATTGACTCTCAAGAAAGAAGTATGAAGCTGGCTTTCCTTCAGACTGGATAAATAGAAGTGATTGTGTGTACAGAAAACATTGCAGAGCCAGCCAGGTGGTACAGAACTGCATGTCCTGCAGCCCAGGTTATCTGAGGTGAGGTCACAGAGGCCAAGACCAAGACTACCTCCTGGAAGCGGCTCTCCTCCGGGAACTAGAGCAGGTGGAGCCACACCCGGCCACGTCCACAGAACAGCTTCCCATGGGGCCTGGACAGTTCTGAGAACAGCCGGCCCTCCAGGCAGCCCACGTCACCGAAGCCCCGGCCCTTAAAACACAAACAGTGCCCTCCGCTGCAGAAAGCCGCGCATTGGCAGGTGCAGCCATGAGAGGCCTGAAAGGGTTTTCAAGGAAACTGGGCTCACTTTACATCTCAGGCCCGATGTTCAAGTCGGAGATGGCAACCCTCACAATCCAAAAAGAAGGATGCTCCGATCCTCACTTAGCAAACACAGAGGGGAGATGCCCACCCAAGATCTCATGGATGGCAAGTGGGGAGCCTCAGCCTTCAGTGCTCACAACTTGAGCAGCTGTAAGGTGTTTGCCTTCTTAAGCCCCACCTCCCACATTGCTCGGAGCTGCACCACTGTACCCTCCTAAGGAGCAGCTTTGTAGATAAGGGTCCAGGAGACCCTCAGCACTGAGTCACTGAACCCCCTTGCTCCTTGGCCCTTGTTATCACTCCCCCAACTCCCTTCAATGACAGGATTTGGGGAGTCCCTCCATGCTGTGTGCATGGACCAGTGTGGAGGCTGTCAGCTGGACAAGGATGAACCAGACACGCCCCTTGAGCCCAAGGAGAGGGAGGGGCAGGGAAACAGGCACCAGCTCAAATGACTGAAATGCAAAGCAAAACCGAAAAGGAGAATCCACACTAAGAGCCTTGAAGTGGATTGGAGGAAGGAGAGGACGCAGCTGCTGGAGGTCTGGGATTGGCCGCACAAGGCTGTCAGGCTTCCTGCCCTCCGGTCCCCATTTCCCAATGTCCCCATGACCTCAGCTGTAGCAATGGAGAGTGGGAACATGCCTCCCTGGCTTCAGCAGTGGTGGGCTCCACGACCCCCACGCAGTGCCCCATAACGTGCACGCTGGATCCCTGGGAGGGAGGGTGAACACAGTGGCCCCAGGGTGAGAGGGTTCACCACCAAAGAGTGGGAGAGACCACAGGTGAAAACCAAAGAGAACTCCAGGTGGCTCAGGGCTGGCAGTGGTGCCCGCCCAGAGCCAAGGACCCCCATCTGAGGAGCCACCAGACTTCTGGGTAGGTCTGTTCTCAGGCAACTCCCTCAGTGAGTTCCCTAAATGCCGACAACACCAGACCCTGGAAGCCCTTAACTCTCTCCAGCCTGCTGTGAGCAGGAAAGACTGGGGTGTCAACCACCCACACAGCACAGAAAGGACTTTGGCCTTGGGGTTCTCTGTGGCCCCCAGGAGACACCCCTGACAGCCCACAGTGGCCAAGAGCGCCATCAGAGAAGACAACGGCTTTGCCTGTGAACTGTCACTGGTACCTGAAGAAACTGGATCTCTCACTTGCCCAGGTCCACAGGGACCTCACACCCGCAGCTCTTCCCGCCTCTCTGCATGGACACTTGCATTGATAGCAAGCCAGGGGCAACCAGAGGACACAGGAGGTCCCTCTCAGGGCCAAGCTCTAACAACTGTGAGCCGTGACCACTGTCAGCCGTGGATCAAGCCCTGGCTTCTTCCTCCACCCACCTTGAGGAAGACAGGT